CCTGAGGAGAGAGATTGGTTGACCGGGTTCGCCAGCAGGGGTGAGAAAGGGGGAGTTGAGTGACTAGCAGCTAGGTGGGGAGGGGGTCGAGGTAGCAAGTAGGGTTCAAGTTCTTAGTTTAGCTGCTGCGTTTCACCCACAAAGTATATATAATCAATTCACTTTACAGTATATTCTGTGAAGCACTTTGAGGTGCAGCACACAATGCAAGAGCTGCTCATTACTCTGAGTTGTTCAGATCTGAAATGCATCGCCTGAAGGGGTGGTGACTCAAAAATAACTTTGAAGAGAGAAGTAGATAGATATTTGTGGAGGACAAATTTGCAGGGTTATGGGGAGAGCGCGGGGGGAGTAGGATTAATTTGGATAGCTCTTTCAAAGACCCGACACGATGGGCCGAATGGCCTCCTTCTGTCTGTATAATTTTATGATTTCATGATTCTAAATCAAATGCAAGGATTATTATTCGTCGATTGGTGGATCATTATCCGGGGGTAATAATCCCTTCAAAAAAAAATGTGGTCATTCAATCCACAATTATTGTGGGACACTGCTGTGCGCAATTGGCTACAGCATACTCTGTGAAGCGCTCTGAGACATCTCAACTGGTTTAAGGTACTGTAACAAATCCTAGGATTATTATTATGTATCTCTCACAACTGTTCCTTCAAACTCTCCTGCAATGGCAGATGTTTTAAATCTCTTCTTCAGCACGCTTCTGCCTGACCCGTGCCCCCAAACCCTGCACAGGATCCCTCGTACCACGTCCCCTCGAAACATCCAATTCTGCCTGAAATTTTCATTTGTTTTCCTCTTTCAGGCATTTCCAACTTTCCTGTTTTCCTGTAACATAGAGTGTGATGTCCACCTCCGGCAGGAAAACCGCAGCTAGTGTTTGTCCGGTACTCTCGTGCTTCAGAGTTAATGAGCAGCTCTTGCATTGCGTGCTGTACCTCAAGGAAAGATTGGTGGTGGATCTGCCCAAGCCCAGATGTGAGGTGATGCAGAACGCCAGGCCATTGTTTAGACTATGCCCAATTAGCACATCTGGATTGCATTGAGTAGTGATGGTGGGATGGTGTTTATTACTTGTGTGGTGTTTATACTGGAATGTTGAGTTTATAGGGATCAGGGCTGTTCCCATTGCACCACGTAGAACAGTTTGCTTTCATTGTTTATCTCTGAGCTGCTCTCGTGTCAGCCAAGAAGGAAACTCGCTCTCCCCAAGCCATTTCGTCCACAAAATACACACTGCACTTTACAGTATATTCTGTGAAACACTTTGAGAAGTCAAGAAGATGTGATAAGGCACTATATCAAATGCAAGGCATATTATTATGGCACCTTGCTGTTACCCCTAAGCACCTCTCAGCACTCTCCACCTGTTAACCTATGATCCAGAAGTGACATATAAGTATCTGCAGACAGGTTCCTCAAACTAAAATCATAGAATGATAGAATTATACAGCACAGAAGGAGGCTAATCGGCCAATCGCGTCTGTGTCGGCTCTTTGGAAGGAGCTTCCAAATCTATCCCACTCTCCCGCGCACTCCCCATAGCGCTGTAAACTTGTCCTCCCCAAATAATTATCTATTTCTCTGTTAAAAGTTGTTATCGAATCGGTTCCCACCGGCCTTTCAGGCAATGCATTCCAGATCCCAACAACTCGCTGTGTGAAAACATTTCTCCTCCCCTCCCCTCTGTTTCCTTCAACAACTATTTTAAATCCGTATCCTCGAGTTACTAACCCACCCGCCAGTGGGAATAGTTTCTCCTCGTTCACCCTATCGAATCCCTTCATAATTTTAAAAACTTCTCTTAAATCTCCCCCAAACCTGCTCTGCTCCAAGGAGAATAATCCTGGTTTCTCCGGCCTCTCCTGATAACTGAAGCCCCTCATTGCAAATTATGATTCTCTTCAAATCTTGTGTTAACTTTGACCTCCCAAGGTTACCTCTGAGACAGTCAGGATGAGAGAGAAGTCTCTTCCCGTGGTTCTCCACTTAACTAACCATCTCACCCTGAGCATTGTTCACTAGGTATCATCGTAGTGAATTGCCAGTTGATTTCTCACAGCTTGATATTGTAATAGGGAGTTCGGTATTATATAATATATAATAATCCTTGCATTTGATATCGTGCTTTTCACGTTTTCTAGACGTCTCAAAGTGCTTCACAGAATAGACGGTAAAATGAATTGACTGTATATTTGTCGGCAAAATATGGCAGCCAATTGCGTACAGCAGCGTCCCACAAACAGTCCTGATTGAGTGACCAATTTTTTTTAAGAATTAATATTAATTATTAATAAAGGTATTCTGGAAAGAGATCAAAATGGCCAAAGAGTCTTCATTATCTGAATCTCTCTTGTGACCTTGTGACTGCCTAAGATTTCAGCAGAGAACAGGAAGCCTTTGTGAGATAACCTGTAGATGTGTGGGTGTGTGTGAGACAGGCTGTGTGTGTGTGTGTGTGTGTGTGTGAGACAGGCTCTGTGTGTGTGTGTGTGTGTGTGAGACAGGCTCTGTGTGTGTGTGTGTGTGTGTGAGACAGGCTGTGTGTGTGTGTGTGTGTGTGTGA